TGTGTAATAGAAGATGGTGTCATAAGACAATTGAAATGGTAACTAAAATCACACTGAACACAACAATAAAAAACACTTTCTTCCATCCATCACCACAATCAATATTACATAGCTTGCACAAGAACGTAGTGCTGTAAGATTTTATTTGAAAATTAGTAAGATCATGCTCATGAAACTCAACCTTCAGACTGAATTAGAGTTTAGCACAACGAATTAATATGAAGGTGGAATATGCATTTTTGACAACAATAGGCTTGTGTTTTATGCCAGATTTTGTACTTACAAGCATTACTAGGGGCCAAGGAGTTTACCTCATGTACTTGAAGAGGCTGTGATGGATGAAAAGGATGCTTTGAGTTCTACCCATGAAATTCGTGGAGCAAGATTTTATCAGAATCTTTGAGATTCCAGATAGGCGCTTCTCGCACCAACTAGAACTGTAATAATTCTTTCCCACCCTATTATAGTTAAATAGGCTCAACCCTTTTTCCGTGGCTGAAATGCCAAAATTTGTTTTGATCTATCATGATTGGGCCTATTTCTCTCATTATTGGTCGAAAAAGTGCTTTAGGACCTCAAGGTTGAAATGACAATCTTTACTATGGCACCCATTGTCTTTGTCTCTAGAAAGATTGAAATATTTAGTACATATGTAATCTTAATTATAAAACCAGAATAGAGTAAGATTGTGTTGGGAGTTGAGAGGATACGTGCAGTTACCTGGTGAGGAAGCTATTGTCTTGAATCGTGCTACCAAAACTTACAAGTTACACAAGAATAAACCCAACCCTCAATTTGCTAATTATATTTATGACACCACGCCTATATACTTATCAAAGAACGAGTAGGGTTCATGAAGGAAAGGTTTGATGTTCATCTCAAATAAAGAAAGAAAGAAAGTTAGGTAGATGGAGAAAGAGTGGTAGCGAGAGGACAGCAATGATGACAACCTTTTGGTGGGAGAAGGTGTATAAATGTAATAAAGAAACAGAGATTCTCTCAAGCGTTTGAATCATAAACACTGAAAGATAAGCTGAATGAAAAGGAACAACTACCCTAACCCACATTGCAAAGAATCACTAACAGCAACAATAACATTAAAAGTATTATTCTTATTATTGATAATATGATAATAATTGGATGAGTATTATGGAAGGCAAGTATATTTTTAAAATA